GATGAGGGGGTGGAGCTTGCATGTACAGGGGGCGGAGATTGCAGTGTATGGGGGTGGGGCCCCCGGAGAGCAACCTAGAATCACCCCTCCTGGATGAGAGCGCCCCCACTCTGGAGGAAGGAGCACAGGGGCCACAGCAGCATTGCCAGTGTGGAATAGCAGATTGGGTCACGTGACCAGCAGGGACTCCCACCATTGGTGAAGGATCTGTGACCTTTGCCCCGGAGATGGGCTCCTGTGATTGGTCAGGACGGTCCTCCCGGAGAGGAGAGCATACGCCCGCTGCAGGCCTGACATCCAATCATCGCTCAGCTCACATTTCTGTTTTTAGGGTTGCGTACCACTTTAAATCTGCCAGGGGGGCGGAGACTGCCATGTCTGGAGGCGTGGCTATGCTGTAACGGCCGTCCTCTACCTTCGCTAATCCTTATGGGAGGGGCGTAGATTCCTTTGTGGGCGGTGCAATGCAACGGGATGAGATTGGAGGGCGGGGCCTTACTGAGACGATCTCATCCCGGGGGCGGGGCTTTGCAGGATGTAGAGTGACGTGAAGGGGCGGGGATGGAGCGGTATCTTGGGCACATGCGCAGTGTGAACAGAGCGGCGTGGACGCGCACGGGGAGTCGGGAATACAGACGAGGAATCGGATCGAGGTGTGAGAGGCCGGACACCGACTACGAGCACGGGGGGCGGGGCCACTATACGGGGGGGAAAGGTTATGGAGGACCTGGGAGGAGCCGACAAGAGAAAGACGGCAGGGGCGGGGCCTGGGCAACCTCCTGGTCACATGACTGCTGAGTGTTCTTCCAGGAGCCCCAAAATCTGGAGAGAGGAGATGGAGGCTGGGCAAAACCCTGCAGGTAAGGGTGGAGCCAAGATTGGGAAACGCCCACATGATGCCACCCCCCCACAGAGCTGTACTTCCTGTCACATGACACCCCCAGAGCCCTTCCCACATACAGAGCTGTACTTCCGGTCACATGACACCCCAGAGGAACACCCCCAATACAGAGCTGTACTTCCTGTCATGTGACACCCAAGAGCAACACTCCCATACAGAGCTGTACGTCCTGTCACCCCAGAGCCCCGCCCCTCATACAGAGCTGTACTTCCTGTCATGTGACACCCCAGAGCGTCCGCCCCATACAGAGCTGTACTTACTGTCATGTGACACCCCAGAGTCCCCGCCCCCAATACAGAGCTGTACTTCCTGTCACGTGACACCCCAGAGTCCCCCCCATACAGAGCTGTGCTTCCTGTCATGTGACACCCCAGAGCGCCCCCCCCCCCCCCCATACAGGGCTGTACTTCCCGTCATGTGACACCCCAGAACGCCCCCCCCATACAGGGCTGTACTTCCTGTCACGTGACACCCCAGAGCTCCTCCCCCCCATACAGAGCTGTACTTCCCGTTATGTGACACCCCAGTGCCCCGCCCCACATACAGAGCTGTACCTCCTGTCACGTGACACCCCAGAGCGCCTGCCCCCATACAGAGCTGTACTTCCTTTCATATGGTACCCCCAGAGCTCCGCCCCCCATACAGAGCTGTACTTCCTGTCATGTGACACCCCCAGAGCTCCGCCCCCTATACAGAGCTGTACTTCCTGTCACGTGACACCCCAGAGCGCCTGCCCCCATACAGAGCTGTACTTCCTTTCATGTGGCAGCCCCAGAGCTCCGCCCCCCATACAGAGCTGTACTTCCTGTCATGTGACACCCCCAGAGCTCCGCCCCCCTATACAGAGCTGTACTTCCTGTCACGTGACACCCCAGAGACCCCCCCATACAGGGCTGTACTTCCTGTCACGTGACACCCCAGAGCGCCCCCCCCCCATACAGGGCTTTACTTCCTGTCAGGTGACACCCCAGAGCCCCCCCCCCATACAGGGCTGTACTTCCTGTCACGTGACACCCCAGAGCCCGCCCCCCATACAGAGCTGTAGTTCCTGTCACGTGACACCCCAGAGCGCCCGCCCCCCCCATGCAGAGCTGTACTTCCTGTCACGTGACACCCCACAGCCCCCGCCCTCCCATACAGAGCTGTACTACCTGTAATGTGACACCCCAGAGTTCCCGCCCCCATACAGAGCTGTACTTCCCATCACACCCCAGAGCCCCCCGCTCCCCATACAGGGCTGTACTTTCTGTCACGTGACACCCCAGAGCCCCCGCCCCCCCATACAGAGCTGTACTTCCCGTCACGTGACACCCCAGAGCCTCCTCCCTCCCATACAGAGCTGTACTTCCCATCACGTGACACTACAGAGCTGTACTTCCCATCACGTGACACCCCAGAGCCCCTGCCCCCCATACAGAGCTGTACTTCCCATCACGTGACACCCCAGAGCTCCTCCATACAGAGCTGTACTTCCTGTAATGTGACACCCAGAGTCCCCGCCCCCCATACAGCGATGTACTTCCCGTCATGTGACACCCCAGAGCCCCCGCCCCCCATACAGGGTTGTACTTCCTGTCATGTGACACCACAGAGCCTGCCCCCCATACAGAGCTGTACTTCCCATCACGTGACACCCCAGAGCCCCCACCCCCCCATAGAGGGCTGTACTTCCTGTCATGTGACACCCCTGAGCCCCCACCCCCCATACAGGGCTGTACTTCCTGTCATGTGACACCCCAGAGCCCCCCCCCCATACAGAACTGTACTTCCTGTAATGTGACACCCCAGAGCCCCCCCCATACAGAGCTGTACTTCCTGTTATGTGACACCCCAGAGTCCCCCCATACAGAGCTGTACTTCCTGTTATGTGACACCCCAGAGCCCCCCCATACAGAGCTGTACTTCCTGTAATGTGACACCTCAGAGCCCCCCGCCCCCCATACAGCGCTGTACTTCCCGTCATGTGACACACTAGAGGCCCCCCCCATACAGAACTGTACTTCCTGTAATGTGACACCCCAGAGCCCCCCCCATACAGAGCTGTACTTCCTGTTATGTGACACCCCAGAGCCCCCCCATACAGAGCTGTACTTCCTGTTATGTGACACCCCAGAGCCCCCCATACAGTGCTGTACTTCCTGTAATGTGACACCCCAGAGCCCCCCCATAGAGAGCTGTACTTCCCATCACTCCCCAGAGTCCCCGCCCCCCATACAGGGTTGTACTTCCTGTCATGTGACACCACAGAGCCTGCCCCCCCATACAGAGCTGTACTTCCCATCACGTGACACCCCAGAGCCCCTACCCCCCTATACAGAGCTGTACTTCTTGTCATGTGACACCCCAGAGCCCCCCCATACAGAGCTGTACTTCCGGTCATGTGACACCCCAGAGCTTGCAGACACATAAAGGGTCACTCCCCACATCTGTGGCTTCTTACATTGCAGTCAGTGTCTGTGTGTAGAGTTCGGTGTCACATGTCACATGGATGGTCTGAGCAGGCGAGATCTCCAAAGCCTTGAATATAGCAGTCAGTGCTTTTCTGTCAGTAAGAAGTGGAAAGTTCAGGGATCTCTGGATACCAAGCCAAGGTCAGGTAGACCAACAAAGATGGCTGCCCCAATGGCCGGAAGAATTGTCCGGGATACAAAGAAAACCCCCACAGGTGACCTCGGGGAGTCCAGGCGGCTCTGGAAACAGACAGTGTGGTGGCTTCAAGGAGCACAATACAGTAATACTTCAACAAAACTGAGCTGCATGGTGGAGTTGTCAGAAGTCTTTTTTTTGTGTCATTGGCGCAGTAAAGACTTTTTTTCTGGCAACTCCACCATGCAGCTCAGTTTCGTCGTATCATCACATTGTGCTCCTTCACACGACCACACCGTCTTCTTCCAGAGCATTTCTCCTGAGGTGACCTAGGGGGTTATGCTTTGTTTCCCGAACAAACACTTGCTGGGTGTGGTGGTGATTTTCCTGGGGGAGGAGTTGTGGGTGGAGTTTTGTATTTCAGACACTTGCTGGGTGTGGTGATAATTTTCCTAGGGGAGGACTTGTGGGTGGAGTTTTGTATCAGACACTTGCTGGGTGGGTGTGGTGGTAATTTTCCTGGGGGAGGAGTTGTGGGTGAGTTTTGTATCTTCGACACTTGCTGGGTGTGGTGGTGATTTTCCCGGGGAGGAGTTGTGGGTGGGTTTTGTATCTCAGACACTTGCTGGGTGGGTGTGGTGGTGACTTTCCTGGGGGAGGAGTTGTGGGTGGAGTTTTGTATCTCAGACACTTGCTGGGTGGGTGTGGTGGTTATTTTCCTGGGGGAGGAGTTGTGGGTGGGGTTTTGTATCTTAGACACTCGGTGGGCGTGGTGGTGTTTTCCTGGGGGAGGAGTTGTGGGTGTAGTTTTGTATCTCAGACACTTGCTGGGTGGGTGTGGTGGTGATTTTCTTGGGGGCGGAGTTGTGGGTGGAGTTTTCCAGGACTGCAGTAACAATGAGTGACCTCTCCCCTACAGGTCCATCTGATACTCAGCTCCTCCCAAAGTCCAGGACTGCAGTTCCTGTGGCCAAGGCTCCCTACCTGATGGAGAATCGTATTCCACCCCCAATTGGCCAGTTCCTGGATGCCACCACTCATCCCCCCGTAGGTCGTATTGATGGGCGATATCCCGCAGTCATGGGGTCCGTGGAGCCATATTGGAGCGGAAGTTTCCTGAGCACCCGACACCCTTCCCCAGCACAGTACACTCTGTCCAATATGGCGGAGTTTAGTAAGGGCGGAGCTTATATGACAGAGTCGAGCAGGATGCGCCCACCAGGGCCCCCAGCCCTCTCAGAGCCTAATGTGGCCTGTTCTCCGGTCCTAACTCCCACTTACTGCTCCAACTGCAAGAATATGTTCGCCACCATTGAAGCCTTCACCAGACACGAGCCCATGCACGCCCTGAGCATCAAGCTCTTCCCGTGTGTGGAGTGCGGTAAGTACTACCGCCACAACACTGCGTTGGTCATCCACCGCCGCACCCACACCGGAGAGAAACCGTACGGCTGCACCGAGTGCGGCAGGCGCTTCAACGCTCGCTCCAGCCTGGTCACTCACGGCAAGATCCATGCCGGCAAGAAGCTGTACAAGTGTTTCCGAGTGCGGCAAGTCATTCACCCGGACCGACGACCTCTTCCACCACCAGCTCATACACAACCGAGAGAGGAAGTTCGCCTGCGACGACTGCGGCAAGTGCTTCAAGGCGGAGTCCGAGCTTGCCGCCCACCGCAGGGCGCACCCGGCCGAGGAGCTGTTCCTGTGCTCCGGCTGCGGCAGAGACTTCACACAGTACACCAAACTTCTCCGACACCAGAAGAGTCACCCCCAACCACCGCCTGTCTTCATCACTGGGGAGAGGGTGCTGGCTGACCAGTGAGCCTGAAATACGAAACTATCACAAGGGATCCAATCGTAACATTTGGAAGTCCACATTCATAGTGTTTCTACAACGGAAATGTGGCATTCATTCTAGAGCCTGCTGGCCTTTCCCAGAAGATTCATGCACCAAAGAACAGCTGACATTTTTGCCCAATTTTGGATGGTGGCCCACCCATGGGATAGATCTCCTTACTGTACATGGGACAGTCAGAACCAACCCTCACCACCTGCCCACCCATGGTATAGACCTCCAGAACCAGCCCTCACCACCTGCCCACCCATGGGATAGACCTCCTTACCGTACATGGGACAATCAGAACCAGCCCTCACCACCTGCCCACCCATGGTATAGACCTCCAGAACCAGCCCTCACCACCTGCCCACCTATGGTATAGACCTCCAGAACCAACCCTCACCACCTGTCCACCCATGGGATAGACCTCCTTACCGTACATGGGACGGTCAGGACCAGCCCTCACCACCTGCCCACCCATGGTATAGATCTCCTTACCGTACATGGGACAGTCAGAACCAACCCTCACCACCTGCCCACCCATGGGATAGACCTCCTTACCGTACATGGGACAGTCAGAACCAGCCCTCACCACCTGCCCACCCACGGTATAGATCTCTTTACCGTACATGGGACAGTCAGAATCAGCCCTCACCACCTGCCCACCCATGGTATAGATCTTACCGTACATGGGACAGTCAGAACCAGCCCTCACCACCTGCCCACCCATGGTATAGACCTCCTTACCGTACATGGGATGGTCAGAACCAGCCCTCACCACCTGCCCACCCACGGTATAGACCTCCTTACCGTACATGGGACTGTCAGAACCAGCCCTCACCACCTGCCCACCCATGGGATAGACCTCCTTGCCGTACATGGGACAGTCATACCAGCCCTCCATACCATATACCGGCCCACCCACGGTATAGACCTCCATACCATACACCGGCCCACCCACAGTATAGACCTCCATACCATATACCGGCCCACCCATGGTATAAACCTCCATACCATACACAGGCCCACCCACAGTATAGACCTCCATACCATACACCGGCCCACCCACGGTATAGCCCTCCACACCATATACCGGCCCACCCATGGTATAGACCTCCATACCATACACCGGCCCACCCACGGTATAGATCTCCATACCATACACTGGCCCACCCACGGTATAGATCTCCATACCATACACTGGCCCACCCATGGTATAGACCTCCATACCATATACTGGCCCACCTACGGTTTAGACCTCCTTACCGTACATGGGACAGTCAGAACCAGCCCTCCATACCGTATACCGGTTTACCCACGGGATAGACCTCCATACTGGCCCACCCATGGGTCACTATTTGGTTGTATGCCGGCTCCTGGGTTTCCATACTCCAGTAAATGTAGCTTGTCTTGTGATCAGTAACTTAAGACATTTAAAACTGATGAGTTGTTGTTGGCTGGAGAGCCGGAGCAGCTTTGTTCGGAAATTGCAGACCCGTAGGATGTGTCATATGTAGACCACAAACATACAACTGTGCCACGTCACCAGAAGGCGAGCTTTCCTCCTAGTCTCCTGTCTCTTTACTGGGCGATAATATTGTAATGGGCATCTTTATAAAGAGGGCTTAGAGTTTTATAGAGAGGATGACGGCCATCTTTAGAAATGAGGCCTAGAGCTCTCCAGTAAGGGAGATGACCATCTTTATATATGAGACCCAGAGCTCTCCAGAGACATAAACAGCCATCTTCATAAACAAGGCCCAGTGCTCTCCAGAGGCATGGATGGCCATCTTTATAAACAAGGCCCAGTGCTCTCCAGAGGCATGGATGGCCATCTTTATAAACAAGGCCCAGTGCTCTCCAGAGACATACATGGCCATCTTTATAAACAAGGCCCAGTGCTCTACAGAGACATAGACGGCCATCTTTATAAACAAGGCCCAGTGCTCTACAGAGACAGACAGCCAGCTTTAAAAACAAGGCCCAGTGCTCTCCAGAGGCGTGGATGGACATCTTTATAAACAAGGCCCAGTGCTCTCCAGAGGCGTGGATGGCCATCTTTATAAACAAGGCCCAGTGCTCTCCAGAGGCGTGGACGGCCATCTTTATAAACAAGGCCCAGTGCTCTCCAGAGGCGTGGACGGCCATCTTTATATACAAGGCCCAGTGCTCTCCAGAGGCGGGGACGGCCATCTTTATAAACAAGGCCCAGTGCTCTCCAGAGGTGTAGATGGCCATCTTTATATACAAGGCCCAGTGCTCTCCAGAGACGTGGATGGCCATCTTTATAAACAAGGCCAGTGCTCTCCAGAGACGTGGACGGCCATCTTTATAAATGAGACCCAATTTCCATTGGGGAGTCCTAGTCCCCGAGATACTTCTCCTCTACCTTCCCATTGGGGAGTCCTAGTCCCTGGGATACTTCTCCTCTACCTTCCCATTGGGGAGTTCTGGTCCCCGAGACACAGCAGGAAGTCAGAGAAAATATCTGAACGTGTTATCACCAGGTGTCCCCATTGCAAACCGTCTCCTCTATTCTTCTGGTGACAACTGCAAACGTTGGGGTTCCCCGTCACATTGACCGCCACCGGTTAAATTTCCCCAGAGGGGACACAAACAGCAATAAAAACCTTTCAAAATGAAGGGTGTAGGAGGAACGCCTTGTGGTTCTCGGAGTCAAATGGTCTACTTTATCCAGAGATACAGGAGGAAAACAGCGGGAGACGTGTCCACAAACCAGACACGCAATCCAGGAAATGTTGGCCTCCCACAAGTATCTATGGGGGTCATACAAAGGGTCTCAGATTGGCCGAGGCTCCTTCTGCAGGGGCTTCCACATATTTTGTAAAATATTTCCAAAGAACTACCAGAAGATATTGAAGTATGCCAAATACTCGAGTGTAGACGTGTCAAAGTCTGGTGACCACATCAGGACTAAACACGTCAAGAATGCCAAGTACATCAATAGCCAAAAGCCATTGCTGCCAATGGATTCCCAGGTCCTCGTCGGTCAGGAGAACCTCCCAAACGTCACCCCTGGGGACCTCCTGGCCATCGGACTGTAGCTTTATTATTGCAGATTACTCCATTTTTTTACATGTTATTTTTGTTATTCTTGCTTATTATGTGCACTTGTATATCATGTCTCCTGTGTATTGTTCATGTCCGCACTGCCAATAAAATCCAAAGCACTTGTAGCTGTATGATGGAGGTTCTCCCGTCTTTAAGGTGGGCATGGGGTAAGGGCTTTGCATTTTAGAGTCCATCACAGGTTACGTAATTCTTTTGATGTGTAGATTCCGTATGTGAACAGAGGTAGGCTGTGCCACGGCTTTGTGTTGTACTCAGCAGGTGCAGTACTGGGAGCACCTCTAACTCCAGCTTGGATGGAAAAGGTCCTTCATCAACATCCCGTCACTAGTCTAATGATGTAAGACCAGGGCGGCCTTGTATTTCAAATGAGCAAAATGAAGGTGGCTTTTGCAAGGTAGGATGGGCTTTCAATGGCTCCTAAGCTTTATGGAAACGTCTTTCAACTATGCCAGACCTGTCCACGTACCAACAAAACAGCCCCGGGGGGGGGGCCGGGAACATGATGTCAACGTGACGCAGATCCATACAATAGAAGGTATTATACTGTATTTACCTCACCTCTCCATCGCCCTGTGTCTTCCACCTCACCTCTCCAGTGACCCGTGTCTCCTACATCACTTTAGTGACCCGTATCTCCTACATCACCTCTTCAGTGACCCGTGACTCCTACGTTACCTCTCCAGTGACCCGTGTCTCCTACGTCACCTCTCCATCACCCTGTGTCTTCCACCTCACCTCTCCATCGCCCTGTGTCTTCCACATCACCTCTCCAGTGACCCGTGTCTCCTACATCACCTCTCCAGTGACCCGTGTCTCCTACGTCACTTTAGTGACCCGTGTCTCCTACCTCCCCTCTCCAGCAACCCATGTGTCCTACCTCACTTCTCCAGTGACCCGTGTCTCCTATCTCCCCTCTCCAGTAGCCTGTCTTTTACCTCACCGCTCCAGTAACCCGTGTCTCCTACGTCACCTCTCCAGTGACCTGTGTCTCCTACGTCACCTCTCCAGTGACCCGTGTCTCCTACCTCTCCTCTCCAGTGACCTGTGTCTCTTATCTCCCCTCTCCAGTGGCCTGTGTCTCTTCACTTCTCCAGTGACCCGTGTCTCTTACCTCACCTTTCCAGTGACCCATGTCTCCTATCTCCCCTCTCCAGTGGCCTGTGTCTCTTACCTCACCTCTCCAGTGACCCGTGTCTCTTACCTCACCTCTCCAGTGACCCGTGTCTCTTACCTCACCTCTCCAGTGACCCGTGTCTCTTACCTCACCTCTCCAGTGACCCTTGTTTCCTACCTCCCCTCTCGTGAATTGTGTCTCCTACCTCCCCTCCCCAGTGACCCGTGTCTCCTACCTCACCTCTCCCATGTCTCCTACCTCTCTTCTCCCATGACCCGTGTCTCCTACCTCCCTCCCCAGTGACCTGTGTCTCCTACCTCTCCTCTCCCATGACCCATGTCTCTTACCTCACCTCTCCAGTGACACGTGTCTCCTATCTCCCCTCTCCAGTGGCCTGTGTCTTTTACCTCACCGCTCCAGTGACCCGTGTCTCCTACATCACCTCTCCAGTGACCCGTGTCTCCTACGTCACCTCTCCAGTGACCCGTGTCTCCTACGTCACCTCTCCAGTGACCCATGTCTCCTACCTCACCTCTCCAGTGACCCGTGTTTCCTATCTCCCCTCTCCAGTAGCCTGTGTCTCTTACCTCACTTCTCCAGTGACCCATGTCTCTTACCTCACCTCTCCAGTGACCCGTATCTCCTATCTTCCCTCTCCAGTGGCCCGTGTCTCTTACCTCACCTCTCCAGTGACCCGTGTGTCTCTTACCTCACCTCTCCAGTGACCCGTGTTTCCTACCTCCCCTCTCTCGTG